CCTTAAACCCTAAGCCCTTCAACCCTAAACCCCTGAGCCCTAAAACCCTAAATGATGCTAACCCCTAACCCCTAAACTCCTAAACCCCAACCCTCAACCCTAAACCCTAAACCCTAAACTCCTAAACCCCTAAACCCCTAAACCCTTTTGCAGCAGGAACCCTCAACCCTAAACCCTCAACCAACCCTAAACTCCTAAACCCTAAACCCTAAACCCTAAACCCTAAACTCCTAAACCCTAAACCCCGAATCTTCTTTCAGGCCAGGCTCCGCAGGCCAATCCCGTGAGTCGGGGCCATGCGCAGCGAGCAGCATTGCTAAGATCCTCTTAGGGCTTTGGGGGTTTTGGGTTTAGGGTTTAGGGTTTAGGGTGTTAGGGTTTAGGGGTTTTGGGTTTTAGGGTTTAGGGGTTCAGGGGTTTAGGGGTTTTGGGTTTTAGGGGTTCAGGGGTTTAGGGATTTTGGGTTTTAGGGTTTAGGGTTTAGGGGTTTTAGGGTTTAGGGGTTCTGGGGTTTAGGGTTTTAGGGTTTAGGGGTTTAGGGTTTTGGGGTTGGGGTTTCAGGACATAGGGTTCGGGTCTGAGAGTCAGGGTCTAAGGATTTAGGGTGTTAAAGTTTTTTTTCTCCACCCGCTTCGCTGACAATGCCGGTGTTAGAGATTAAGGTGCAGGGTTTGGGGTCTCGGGTTCGGGGTTCGGGTCTTTCAGCGACTCACTTCTTGGGGCATTCGAGCTTCATTGCTTCAGGGATTGAGGAGCTTCGCTTCTTCGGGCCTGGCTTTGGCGATCTCAGGATTTGGATCCGTACAGTCTGAACCCTAAAACCCTTATATAAGCCCTAAGCCCGAAGCCCTAATACCTAAACCCTTATGCCCTAAACCCTACATGCTTGAGCCCTAAACCCTAAAACCCTTTAGCCCAAAGCCCTAAGCCCTTAACCCCTAAGCCTGTAAACCGACATGCCCTGACCTTTCAACCTGGGTAGCGCAGGCAGGGATGAGAGGAACAGCCCCAGAAGTCAGGATTTAGGGGTTTGGGGTTTAAGGTTTAGGGATTGGGGTTTAGGGTCTAGTTCGGGGTTTAGGGCTTAGGGTTGAAGGTTTCGGGGCTTATAGGGTAGGGTCTAGGGGTTTAGCGAGGTCACAAGTATTCCCAACCTTCCCTGAGACCGTAAACCCTCACCTTCAACCTGAATTAAACCAACAACCCGAGCCAAACACAAATACCCCCAGCCCAAACCCTCAGCACTAAAAGCCCTGAGCCAAAGCAGGAAGTTCGAAACCGAAACCGGAAGCCCCGCTACCCGAAACCCACTCCTACGTAAATCTTACATCCACAACCCAAAAGGGGCCCTAATCCCTGATGTCCGAGGCCCTAGGCCCCAAGTCCTAAGCCTGCAAGCTACAAAAAACCACAGCATATCAGTGGCCCCTTCCTTGGCCAGACCTCTCGTGGAAGAGGAAGGAAAGGAGCTGCCTCTTCGCTGAAAGGCTCAGATGCCTTTGGCTCGCGGGCAGAGCTTAACGGACCTATAAGGGGTCTATATAGGGGTTCTAGAAGGGTTCAGCAAGTGTTTAGGATTGTGTGCTTTATGAATTATAAATATAAAGTAGGAGTAGAAGCCAGAAAGTTGGAACAAAATTATCCTCGTGCACTCGGGCAAATTTATCGGGAATTCCAACACTAATTATGTTAATCTCATGTGGGGCTACCCTAAACCCTAAACCCTAAACCCTCGCTTTGGGTTTTTGGGGCTTGGCTGTTTGCGCTTGAAGGCTCCAGGCAGTGGTGGGGTTGATGGCCGTTGCTTGTGGGTCTTGGGTTTGGGGGGTGTCGATGATCGGAGTTGGGGTTCAGGTTTAGGGTTTAGGGTTTTGGGGTTTAGGGTTTAGGGATTTAGGGGTTTAAGGTTTAGGGTTTAGGGGCCTTAATAATTACCTATATTCTTTTGTGGGTTCCTATTATAGTGATCGTATAATGGGCCCCCAAACCCTATT